TCCTGATAGCAATTATTCACTATTGTACCACAAGAGTCCTATCCCCATCTCCTTTCACCAGCCCTGTCCCAACAGATTGGAAACCACTCAGTGGAGATCCTACCTTCCCCCGGTCCACTCTGGAACTAGGTTCCCTCTTGAAAGCTTGTAAGCCAGTTCACTTCTTGCCTTTGTAGCCCCACCCCCCCAGCCCCATTTTGGGTAGCCAATGTCTACGTTGCCCATCCCTGTCAACCCTGTGTACCGAGGGGGTAGGAATGATCCTTGCTGTAAAGATGAGTGCCCTCTTTTGAGCTACTACATCCATAAGTATAGGTCAATTTCATCAAATTGTAGCAGATTACTTTTTTTCCCCTCTTCTTTCTTCTTCTAGTTGAGTTCTGATCATCTAGCCATTGAAGTCGGGTCAAGTAGGTACTATCTGCAAGCATGGGTATTCTTGTGCATCTCCCCTCACTTCTTATCAGCTGGATGCTTCACTCTCCGCTCTAGTCCTCTGTGGTCTATGGGCCCAGGAGTTCCCAGGCCTTGCCATACTGCTGGACGACCAGGTCTAAACCCAAATTCACAGGAGTCTATTGAATGAGGTTGGATTTAGCTCACAACTTCATTGCTGTTTTCCCCTCACTACTTCCCCTTATTGGTGACCAACGTGGTCACCAGCCAGACTAGATGCCTGCTCATGTATTCCCCTTGAGTCTTAGTCTTGGAAGCGGGTTTGCTCTAAGGGGACCCAACCACTTGCCTTGATGGCTCCCGGGCTTCTTCCAGTCTTGATGCCACAGTCTTCTTCATATAATTTAGCTTCTCAGATTATTTGCTCAACATACAGATTGAATAAGTATGGTGAAAGAATACAGCCTTGGTGCACACCTTTCCTGATTTTAAATTATTAATGTCCCCTTGTTCTGTTTGAATGACTGCCTCTTAGTCGATACACAGATTCATCATGAGTGCAATTAAGTGTTCTGGGATACTCATTCTCTGCAAAGTTGAACATATATTTTCATGATCAACACAGTCAAAAATCTTTGCATAGTGAATAAAACACAGGTGGGCATATTTCTGGTGGTCTCTGCTTTCAGTCAAGATCCATCTGACGTCAGCAATGATATCCCTTGTTCCACATCCTCATCTAAATCCAGCTTGAACCAATGGCAGTTCCCTGTCAATGTACCAGTATTTTGAATTATTTTTAGCAAAATTTTAGTGGCATATGATAGTAATGATATTGTCTTATGATTTCTGCATTCCATTGGGTTACCTCTCTTTGGAATAGGTGCAAATATGGATCGTTTCTAGTCACTTGGTCAGGTAGCTGTCTTCCAAGCTTCTTGGCATTGATGAGTGAGTACCTCTAGTGCTGCATCAGTTTGTTGTAAGATTCCAATTGTATTCCATCAATTCCTTGAGCCTTGTTCTTTGGCAATGCCTTGGACTTCTTCCTTCAGTACTATTGGCTCTTGATCATATGCTACCTCTTGAAAGGGCTGAACATCGATGGTTTCTTTTTGGTACAGTGACTTGGTGTATTGCTTCCATCTTCTTTTGGTGCTTTCTGTATCTTTCAATATTTTGCCCATAGACTCCTTCAGTTTTTCAAGTCGAGACTTGAATTTGTCCTCAGTTCTTTCAACTTGAGAAATGCTGAGCGTATTCTTTCCTTTTGCTTTTCTAACTCCAGGTCTTTGCACATGTCATAATAAAATTGGACTTTGTCTTCTTGAGCTGCCATTTGAAATTTTCTGATCAGCTCTTTTACCTCCTCATTTCTTCCATTGGCTTTAGCATCTCTATGCTGGAGAGCAAGTTTCAGAGTCTCTTCTGACATCCATTTTGGTCTTTTCTTTCTTCCTAGTCTTCATAATTTTTTTTTTCCTTTGATGTTCTTGATGTCATCTTAATGTCTAATACATCAAATCTCTTCTTGAAGTGATCTCTAAAAATTCAAGTGGGATATGTTCCAGATCATATTTTGGCTCTCGTAGACTTGTTTTCATTTTCTTCAGCTTCAGTCTGAACTTGCTCATGAGTAATTAATTGATGGTTTGACCCTGGCTTTGTTTCAGCTGATAATTTGGAGATTTTCCACCATCTTTTTCCACAGGTGTAGTCAATTTGATTTTTGTGTATTTCATCTAGTGAAGTCCATGTGTTTTATGCTATTTAAAAAGGGTATTTGCAGTGAAGAAATCATTGGTCTTGCAAATTTCTATCATGTGATCTCCAGCATCATTTCTATCACTGAAGTCTTATTTTCCAACTACTAATCCTTCCTCTTTGTTTCTCACCTTTACATCATTACAATTACCAGCAATTATTAATACATATTGATGGCATGTTTGATCAATTTCAGACTGAGGAAGTTGGTAGAATTCTTCAATTTTATCATCACTGTTTTGAGTTTCTGGTCCATAAATTTGAATAACAGTGATATAAACTGGTCTTACTTGTAGGCATATGGATATTACCATATCACAGACAGCATTATACTTCAAGATAAATCTTGAAATGTTCTTTCTGATGATGAATGTGGTGCCACTCATCTTCAATTTGTTATTTCTGGCATATCAAGCCACGTAATTGTCAGATTCAAAATGTCCAATACCAGTTCATTTCAGATTACTAATGCTTAAGATATTGATGTTTATGTGTTTCATTTCATTTGTGATAACTAATATTTTTTACATTCATACTTCAAACATACCATATTCCAATTATTAATGGATATTTTCAACTGTTTCTCTCCTCATTTTGGGTTGTGCCCTATCATAAAATAAGGTCCCCAAAGTTTTACTCTGTTCACATCATCACAGTTAACTCTACTTTGAAGAAACAGCTCTTCCCCAGTTGTATTTTTATTTTTGTATAAAACATTAAATTTATTGGTCTTTTGTCTTGGGAATTTAATGTATCACCACTGCATTACAACTGAGCCATTAATCTTGTAGCCTTGTCCATCTTGACTGATTGGCTTTCATGCTGCTGCTGAGGAATCTGTTTTTTTCTGCAGCAGTTCAAGGGAAAGACCTTTTGAGAAATGTGCAAGTTCCTTTTGTATGTCTAGAAAAAACTTTATTTACCCTTGTAACTTTTTCATTATTCACAATGTTTATCTTAAGATTTGTGGTAACCAGATTTGCTTTGATTTTAGATTTAAAGTTTTTTTGGGTTTGCTATGTGAAATACACTCCTGGGCTTCTATCCTCTTAGTCTATTCTTGGCCATTATCAAACCTTCGATACCTCGGGCAGCTGTTCAAGGCCCAGGTGATGCCATCAGCAGGCATTGGGTCCCCCAGTTGTACTTTGAATGCCTTCCAAACAGAGGGGCTCATCTTCTGGCACTATAGCTGATAATCTTCTGGGTGTGCTTCATCATGTTTCAATAGTCAATATTCTGGTGCTCCTGGACAGTGTTTCACTGCTAACTGCTTTTCATAAGGTTTTCAGTGACTAAACATTTAGAAATAGTCCATCTCTCCTTCTTTCTAGTCTGTATTAGAGTCTGGAAGCTCAGCTGAAAGCTGTCCATCATTGGTGACTCTCTCAGCATTCAAGATACTGGTGGCATATCATCCAGATTCACAACAATGCACAAACCACCACAGTGCAACAAACTGACAGACAAGTTGTGAAAGACATCTCACTGAGTGTAATTATTCAATCACAAAAAGACAAATATTATATGAGACCACTGTTGTAAAAAGAAAAGTTTTTCTTGCTGAAAGAAACATTGTATGGGGTAGGAAAGAAAGGAAAATTATTCACCCGGTAGAGGATAAACACATGCTAACTTGAGTGATAGACAAGGCAATATACTATAAGAGGGAGGTTGGCACAGGAAAGATAAAGGCAGTGGAAGAACACATGGAGAATTGCAAAAGTTAAAATGAATAGCGGTAAATACTGTTAACTAAGGAGCTCTGGTAGCATAGTGGTTACAAATTGGGCAGCAAACTTCAAGGTCAGCAGTTCAAAACTACCAGCTGTTCCGCAGGAGAAAGATGAGGCTTTCTGCTCCCATAAAGATTCACAGCCTCTGAAACCCTGTACAGGGTCGTTATGAGTCAGAACCAACTCCACAGCACATAACCACCACCAATGGTAAAATCACGGAAGGGTTTGCAATTATTGTAATGGCATGAAGTGTGTGATTTTTGAATGTGGCATTGATCTATAAACCCTCACTCGATTCACAATAAAAAGTTTTTTTTAAACTAGTCTAGGAGATTCTTGAGTATAGAACTCTTCTGCCTACACAGCACACCTTTCAGGATTAGAAACTACTTTGTCTTCATTCATATATCACCAGTGTTTACTGTATTCCAGGAATGCTAGATGCTAGAATAATAAAAATTAATTTAAAAATAGTCCCTGTCCTCAAGTAGTTCACAGATTAACTACAGTTTTATCAATAACATGAAGCAGTGTACAGATAAGGAGGCAATGCTGAGAAACAGAAAGAAGTGGTCCTTGTGTATGTTCAATTTTTCCAAATTTGTCACATTTGAGAAAGTATGGAGTAATTTAGTCTTTCAAGAAATCTTATAGTTACAGAGTCCTGGTGTCGCACAGCAGGATAAGCACTGAACTGTTATCCATGATGTCAGTGGCTCAAACCCACCAGTTTCTCCACGGAAAGCACATACAAGGTCACTATGAATCAGAATCGACTCAATGGCACTTAACAACAATAAACAGCAACATAGTCATGAAAAATAAAATACAGAAAAAAAATTATTCAGACTACTTCCACAAGCCAACTAGTGGTAGATATTCCATTCATCAATATGAAGATCATACGATGGGCTTCTGCAGTATTATTAAACTTGAGAGGACCTTGTTTATAGTTTTGGTCTCGTCTCTTATTTATTTCTTCCTTTCTTCTATAGGTGAACACATACATAAAACCAAAGATATACTGTAATATTTATTTAAATGTTAATACTTAACATTCAGAATGAACACTAAATTAAATATGGAAAGATTCTTTCTTACCTTACTATTTACAACAACATAAAAATGAGAGTGGGCAGTAGGGAAGATATTCAATCCAATTTCTTTCAGTGCAATAATGAACTGAATAGGTGTCATCCATTTTCCTTTCAAAATAGTGAAATGCTTTTCGCTTCTTAGTTTGATGGAGGCTAACATGCAGAGGTTTTCCTAGTATCAATAAGAAAAATATGTTTTTTTACATGCAAGCTTCAGAAATTGTTACTTTTGTGTCATCCCAGATCCCGTCTTTTTGATCTTTACATAATTTTTTAAATTATGTGTTACTTTAATAAGGAGTCCTGGTGTGGTGCTGTAGGTTAATGTTCTGGACTGCAAGATAGGCTTGAACCACAAGGTCACAAGCCATTCCTCAGAAACCCTATACAGATTCACTAAGGGTCAGAGCTGATTCCACAGTACTTAACCACAACAACTCTGATATAATTTGGAGTCCTGGTGTGGTACTGTTGGATAAGCACTGGACCACAAGGTCAACTTGAACTGTAAGGTCAGTGGTTCTGATTCACCAGTCGCTCCTCAGAAATCCTCTACAAGGTTGCTATGAGTCAGAACTGAGTCAACAGCACTTAACAACACTCTTATAAAAAAAGAAAGAAAGAAAGAAAAAAGCATGAAGGGCAGATATATTTTAGGCCTAAACTGGAAGCTGTGTCACAAAGTTTCCATATTACCTTACACAGTTTATACCACCCAGTCAATTCTGATTCATAGTGATCCTGTAAACAAAGTAGGACTGCCCCATAGGGTTTTGAAAACTGTAATCTTTACAGAAGCCAACAAACGTATCTTTCTCCCACAATGTGACTGGTGCCAAACCCACCACCACCATTTTGGTTAACAGTTTAACAACTGCAGCACCAGAACTCCTTAAATAGTTTATCTAAACCCCTTTTGGGGCTTCATCTGAACAAACAAGTGACTAGACCAAAAGATCTCTCAGGTTTCCTCCAATTTTATGACTTGTGATATAAGAACACTGCATGCATTGATAGTGAGGTAAAACAGTAGTTTAATAGCAACAATTATTATAACTTCAAAGAATTATACATCTAGGATTTAAAATAATGATGCAAAATTATTAAAGTTTGGCTAAGTGGCAATTTGAAGTATACAATCTCATCTAGTAGTAAAATCAAAGTTTAGTGGCATCCCAGTCTTTTTGCTATACTCATAAGGAATTCCAGGCTATCTTATTTTTCACAGTTTTAACAAAGTATATTTTACATATCATAAAATTCATTCATTTCATGTGTACAAATTAATGACTTCACCATATGGTACAACCATTACCATAAAAAATTAGTTTGGGAACATTTTTCACCCCACCCACTCCCAAAAGATTCATTATGCCCACTGATAATTAATCCTCATTGTGAGGCCCAGGGAACTACTAATCTATTTTCTGATTCTATAAACCTCAAGCTATATACAATTTCTGATGATTACCAATAGAGGCTCATTTAGACAGAGGCCAGCTTGTAAAGGAATTTTAAAGGACTGGATGATAAAGATCAAGGAGCCTCTATGGGGTGGGGGGGAAGGGTCAAAAACTCTGGAATTCAGACTGCTATCAGGATTGTAGCTTCACTAATTGATCTATCTCTAGTACCTTTAGAATATAACTTTGAACCTCTTACATATGATACTACCAACCCAATTTTGATTTCATTTAGAAATTATAGTTAAATGTACATTTTATATGAATTTACAAAAGACATTATTTCAATATATGAATTGGTAGAGACTTATCACTTTGGTACAATCTCATATCCATCAAAGAGATTTACTTCTTTGATATGACTTTAAGATAACAAGAATTCACCTTAATTTGAATTTGAATCTCAGTAAATACTGTGGTCACAGTCAAAAGTACTTTGTTCTCCTCCAGTGGTCTTAGTTCCCATGACTGGTACGGCATGTTAATATGGGTTTCTTGAATCAAGGTGATGGGGCCAAAAGTATCCAGGTTGAATGTTACAAGTCCGTCTTCTGAATTATAAGTTACATGGCTGATGCCATCTGTTCGCCAATATTTACCTTTATATTAAGTGAAGAAAGTGACATTAGTTTCCACATAATTGCAATGTGTATAAATTGGCCCTTTGCATTTAGAATACATTTCAACAAAAAACTGATTCTGTGCAAAGTCTCCATTTGCCTATGAGATCAAGTCCGAATTTCTCATTCTTCTGACTCTAACGATACCAGATGCCTCAGTACATTTGAATATACAATTCTCTCTTTCTACAGTACCCTTCTCCAATCTTTTAGAGAACCTCTCTCTTGTTATAATTAAAAACAAATTTAAAATTCACTTATTTTAAGTGACCAGTCAAATTATTTTTAGTATATTTACCCAGTGGGCAACCATCATCACAATCCAATTTTAGAACCTCTTTATTCTCTCAATAATACCTATTATTTCCATTTACAGTTAATTCTCACTTCCATGTCCGTCCAACCCCCAGGCAATCACTAATCTACTTCTAAAGATTTGCCTCTTTCTGAACTTTCCATATACATGCAGTCTAACAATAGGTGGTCTACTGCTTCTCTTTCCACCTAGTAATAAAACAGCCCTGTAAAGTGAGCAAAAGATTAGAATAAGCATTTCAACAAAGAAGGTATACAAAGGATAGTACATGAAAAGATGCTCAGCTTTGTCATTAAGGGAATAAAACTTAAACAAACACTGAAGTACCACTTCACATTCACTACATTGGCGATCATAAAAAACACTGATGAAGAGGGACAAACTTCAGACATTGCTGATGATCTTATAAAATGATCTAGCTACTTTGAATTACAACTGAGTTTCTTAAAATGTTAAGCATAGAGTTATTATTGGACCCAACAATTCCATTCCTAGTAAAACGAAGGCATATGTCCATAAGAAGGCTTGCTCTACATACTATCTTCATCTTTTAAGGCCATGGTTAATGTTCCACCCTCTGAGAAGTCGTCTTAACTCTCCAGCTCCCTAGAACAACCCAGGCAACTACTGTTTTTTAGCACCTTGAATCTATGGGTACTATAGCACTTTACTACTTTACATTGTGATGTTTTCCCATCTGTTTCTCCTACAATCTGAAAGTTCCTAGAGAAATAAATGGTCTCATTTGTCTCTTACTGTTGGAACAGTACTTTTTATTGTTTAGCATATTTATGGACCAAATGAATTAATCATTCTTTCTTAGAATGAATACCCTTCTCCATTTCCACTTAGTTCTTCTCAGATGGACGGGTTCACTGACTAGTTTTTACTCTTAAATTTATAAAATAAAAATAATTATATTGATAAACTAAATTATTTGTAAGCTCTCTTTTGGTCTCTAACAAAATAATTTACATTTGTAGTGGAGCAAATTAAATACTGTCTATAAATAAATTCTCCAAATTTGTAGTATTTCCAGGCAAAAAGTTTCCCTATAGTTTAAACATTACAGGAAATTTTGAGTATTTATCCTTGTAGTTACAGAATCAACATTTACACAAATCATATATATTTCCATGATCACGTAGGATAATTAATCTTATCTACTTGCAATGTAGAATTAATAATTTTTTAATGTGACACATAGTCAAAACTATTACCATTAAATAATGGCAAAGGAAGAGAAGGGTTTTTAATAAGGTGTTTTTTTTTCTCCTCCCCTCTCCGTTCAAACCCTTTTAATCATTGTTCCCAATCATTACTGCCCTGAATCATCTTACCCTGTGCTCCAGGAACACCTGGCTAAGGATTTAGCACTGCAGTGTTAGATTAAACCTAGGATAAGAAGATATGCTGGGAGGGATACTGGAAGGCCATGATCTCATCCCTTAAAGGTAAGAATGTAACTTTAAGACACAGGTTTACCAAAAGGCCATTAACATTGTTTTGGGGCAATCACATCCCAGAACAAAAGGAGTGCTGACTCAATGCAACATAAAATGTATCCCTGAAAAGAGAGCCATCAAACTGGGAAAAGACTGTAACAATACAGACAGACTGATACCTAGAGGGGTGTAAGAGTTTGGGAGGTATGGGGGAAGGAAAGACAGTGTTTCAGAGAAGGATTCTCGATGCCTTTCGGATCTGTCAATAAAACGTACGTTGATTCCCACATGGGCTGGCGGCTGGACTTTTGTACGGTAACAGCATGAAAGGAAGAAGTTGTGTAATGGTTCATTTGGACATGTTTTGTAGTTAGAGTCATAGCTAGAAATGCACTGTTTTAATACATAAACCACTTCTGGAACATAAGTAATATCTTATGGCTATGTACACTAGCAAAATGTTGAGCATTAAGGTAGTTATTAAAAAGTTTAAACTATAAAAATACTTATTCTTCTGGATAGAGTTTCCATAATTTTCCCCCTCGGTAACTAAATAAGTAGATTAAATAGCAGCTCTCTGCCCTCGTGAGCCTATCTGTACCCAAACAAGCACCAATTCCTTCACAAATGGATACAAATAATTATTTAAAACAAAGCAATATGGGATTCCTCTAGGATTTTTAAAATTGCATATATTAAGTCACAATACTAGACCTTTCAAAGTTCATCCAGTCATCCAACACTAGGTATTTCTTAATGATTAGAGGATGATTAGCTTGTATCTGTTAATACTTTGGTTTTATTGATATATATTTGTTATCTTGAGTAAGCAGAAATTTTCCATGATTCAAGAATCAAAACCTATAAAGAGATATACAGAGGCTATTTTTCTTTTTATTTAGGTTTCCCATGTTCTCATTCCTCACGCTCAATACTCAACTTGCAACTTGAGTTCATGTTTTATAGATCATTAACATTAAAATAACTAAATGCCAGTCACCCACTCCAATCTGAGTTACTTGGTTATGTCAAGAAGGCTTCTGTTTATTTGGTTTGATTTGCTAAACTATTTGATAGTTAGTTCATTTCCTGATTTTTCAGCATAATGATATAACTATAAATTAACTGCTTATAGACTATGGCCAATATAAACACTGTGGGAACTAATACTTATAAAATTCAATAAATTTTAAACTCCAATCCCTATTCACTCCATCAAGAGCAAGCAAATTGAAGACCCCATATCTTTAAACTGCTCATGAGTGACATCTAAGTGAAAGAAAGAAGAGTGAGTGAAAATTGAAGATGCTTGGAACCTATTAGTAATGGACTAATGGAACACATTAGTGTTAATGGAACTAACTAATGGAACACACATGTGCAAAGATCTGGAGTCAGAAAACCGAAAAGGAAGAACACGCTCAGCATTTCTCAAGCTGGGAGAACTGAAGAAAAAATTCAAGCCACAATTTTCATTATTGAAAGATTCTCTGGGCAAATTATTGGATGATGCAGAAAGCATCAAAAGAAGATGGAAGGAATACAGAGTTACTGTAGCAAAAGTAAATGGTTAATGTTCAATGGTTTCAAGAGGTAGCATATGATCAAGAGCCAATGATACTGAAGAAGGAAGTCCAACGTGCATTAAAGGAATTGGCAAAGAACAAGGCACCGGGAATTAATGGAATAAAAATTGAAATCTTTCAAGAAAGTGAGGCAGCACAGGAGGCACTCATTCATCTATGCCAAGAAATTTGGAAGACAGCTATCTGGCCAATTGATTGGAAGAGAGCTGTATTTTTTGCCCATTACAAAGAGGTGGCCCAAGGGAATTCGGAAATCATCGGACAATCTCTGATATCCTATGCAAGTAAAGTTTTACTAAAGGTAATACAGAAACAGCTGCAAGCATACATTGACAGAGAATCAACTGTCAACACTCACAGAAGCAGCAGTCAAGAAATCATACGACGTATTGCATTAGGCAAATCTGATGCACAAGACCTTTTAAAAGTATTGAATAGCCAAGATGTCAGCTTGAAGACTAAGGTGTATTTGACCCAAGCCATGATATTTTCAATAACCTCATATGCATGTGAAAGCTGGACAATAAAAAAGGAAGACCATAGCAGAATTGATGCTTTTGAGTTATGGTGTTAGAGAAGAATATTGAAAGTGCCATGGGCTGCCAAAAGAATAAACAAATCCGTGTTGGAAGAAGTGCAGCCAGAGTGCTCCTTAGAGGCCAGGATGGCCAAACTTCATCTCTCATACTTCAGACATTATTATCTGGAGAGACCAGTCACTGGAGAAGGATATAATGTTTGGTAGGGTGGAGGGTCAGAGAAAAAGAGGAAGACCCCCAATGAGAATGACTTGCCAGGTGGCAGCATCGATGGACTCAAGCATGGCAACAATAGTGAGTTTGGCCCAGGATCGGGCAGTGTTTCGTTCTGCTGTGCATAAGGTCGCTATAAGTCGGTACTGACTCGATGGCACCTAACAACAACAATGGAACACTTGAATATCAGTCTTGACATCACTGAGACCAGAAGAACTAGATGGTGCCCAGTTACCAACATCTCTGAAAGGGATCACATTAGAAGGTAGAAGGTTGCGGATAGGGTAGAAGACAATGTGAAACAAAACTCAAAATTATAAAACAGACCAGGCTTACTAGTCAAAAAGAGACTATGGCCTTTGGTCACTCTTAAGGTATTGAACAGAACTCACCCTCAGGGCCCAATTTTCAACCAACTAACTGGTGGACAAGTATATATAGTGAACAACAACACTAGTGAGGTGTGCTCATCATGGACTGGGCAACCATTCAAGACCAAGAGGGCAGCATTTACCTGGGGACAAGATCCAAAGGGTTTGGGAAGGAAAGCGGAATGGAAATAGGACCCACAGGGAGGACCTGGGGTCGATCTTGGTACTTGGTACTTGGTACTGTTTCATCAAGATGAAACAAGGTCTGAGATTTTTGGTATGTAAGGTTGATGATCTCTGTAAACCTCACTCAATTCACAATAAAAAAATTTTCAAAAAAAAAAAAAACAAAGACCGTAGGATTGGCATAAAAATATGTAGGATTAGAAACTCAGTTTCATATTCCATTTTCTGTTTCAGTTTGAGGATCTATGCATGATATGATTATAAAAGCTGGTAAAGGCATTGCTGTACCTTCAAGGTCCCACCTTGCAAGCATAGGCTCCTCAAAAAATAATACGTTTTCATGAACCTTAAGCGTGACTTCTATTGGTGGAAAAATATTTTCTGTTTCAACGTCTTCTGTAGTTTCAGGAGGATATATATATTTCTGTAATCCTTCTTTGGTTATCTTTGTAAAAAGGAACAGCACAACACCAAGTTAGAAGCTGACTGGTAACAGTTTAAAATGCAAGTATTATTGAATAAGGTTATTTTTAATAAGCATTGTAGTTTGGTCCCATTTCTCTACAGCAGGGGTGGGGGACATCTGGCCTGCAGGTCATATAAGGCCCTTGAAATCATTTGGTCTGATCCTACCAAGGTAACCACAGTGCCAGCCATCACATTGTTGTTGTTGCTGTTAAGTGCCGTTGAGTTGGTTCTGACCCAGAGAGACCCTGTGCAGGGTTTCTGAGGAGCGGCTAGTGAATTTGAACTGCTGAACCTGCAGTTCAAACCAACCTTGCAGTCCAGTGCTTTATCTCGCTGCATCACACCAGGATTCCAGCCATTACATTAGGGCTGAGTTAATTAAATGTCATACCAAATATAGCAAGCTCATTTTTAAGCTGATAATTTTGTATGGCTTGTAAAAGATGTCATAAAATTTGGCAGAAAAACAGTTCCCCAACCCTGCTCTATGATTGACTAACCAAAATGTCACAACAAAATTAAGACAGCATGATTAAGACAAAACCTCACTAAATGTGGATGGAATTATAGAACTCTCCCCTTTGGGCTGGATTCTGTGCTGTGCTTTATTCATTATTTTATTCCTCCAAGCAATCCTCCAAATCAGAAATATTAGAGAGAAGATAACTGAAACTTGGAGAAATCCAGCAATTTGCCAAAGATTTCAAAATGATTTCAAGGGACCAGAACTGAAAAACAGATACATAGACCCCCAAATCCCATACTCATTTCTTTCTCCTTGCTTTGGGAGTGTAGGTGAGGTGAGAAAGATTTTGTGCCAGTACAGAAATGAATAAACGCAAGCAAATTAAGTAGACAGCAGATTTTCCAAGGATAACAGAGATTTGTGTGTATCTGAATGTAGCAGAGAAGGATTCAGGGAGGGCGGTAAGACTAAAAACATCAGGAAATAGATTAATAATTGTGTGGAACAAATTTCTGGAATAGGTGGGTGGTTATTGAAAAAAACTTGGAGACAGGAGGAAGAGAGAATGGAGAGAGAGACAAGTGCAGGATCAGATTTAGGGCTGAAAAGAAGAGCATAGAATGGTGATATTAGAACATTCTGATAAAATTAGGAAACAGTAGATCTTTGAAAATCCCAGCTCAGACTAGGACGTTCCTATAGATGTTTTGAAATCTTTTATTGTTAAGTTCTTTCAAGTCAGCTGCAACTCATAGCTACCCTATGTACAACTGGATGAAACACTACCTGATTGATCCTGCCCCATCAGAATTGATATGAAGGGGCTTCAAAAAGTTTGTGGGAAAGTAGAATTAAGATAATAGAATTTTTCCATGAATTATTTGAAATCCCCTTATATAGCCTTTTAATGTGAAAATATTTAGTATTTGTTCCTTCATGGTACAAGTTTTCTGGTCTCTGATGTAGGTCATTAATAAGGTAAAATTGGCAATGTCTAAACATAGTGTTGTTAGTTTATAATTAAAATCCATTCTAGTTTTAAAATGTATATTATTTTAGATTCCTTAAGTATCAGATTCAGATGTCTAATACCTATAAATTCAAGAGTTTAAAATTACAGGCTTTGCTTTGTGATTAATAAGGTTAAAGCACATTAGATCTTTTCAGATAAAGTAAAAATGTGGGAAACTCTTATTTATAAATTTTGTTTTATAAATCAACCTGCTGTTTGGAAGTTCTTTAAAAAGTTTAGCATGGAATTACAGTATGAACCAGCAGTTCCATTCCAAAGATACACGATCAGAAGAATAGAAGACAAGTACTGAACCAAACACTTGTGTACAAATATTCAGAATAGCCAAAAAGTGGAAACAACTCAAATGTCTGTCAACAGTGAATGAATAAACAAATACAGTAATTATGCGTACAGTGGAATATTACTCTGCAATAAAAAGAAATAAAATGTTGATACATGCTATAATGTAGCATCAGAGATGGAGGAAGGCTCATTAACAATCTGCCATATGCAGATAATACAACCTTGCTTGTTGAAAGCAAAGAGGACTTAAAATACTTACTGATGAAGATCAAAGACCACACAGCCTTTGGTAGGGTTGCACCTCAATGTAAAGAAAAAAATCCTTACCACTGGACCAATAAATAACATCAAGATAAATGGAGAAAAGATGAAAGTTGTCAAAGACTTCATACTGCTCAGATCAACCATCAACACTCACAGAAGCAGCAAAAACTCAAAACAACGTATTGCATTAAGCAAATCTGCTACAAAAGACCTCTTTAAAGGGTTCAAGAGCAAAGACATCAGTCAGTTTGAGGACTAATGTACACCTGACCAAGCCAGGGTATTTTCAATAACCTTATATGCAGGTGAAAGTTGAGCAATGAATAAAAAAGACCATAGAAGAATTGATGCGTTTGAGTTATGATTTTGGAGGAGAATATTAAAAGTACCATGGAGTACCAGAGAAAAAAATCTGTGCTGGAAGAAGTACAGCCAAAATGCTCCTTAGAAGCCAGGACAGCCAGACTTCATCTCTCAAACTTCAGACATATTATCCGGAGGGACATATTTACCAGAAGGACATCATGCTTGGTAAAGTGGAAGGTCAGTGAAAAAGATGAAGACCCCCAAAGAGATGGATTGCCACAGTGGAAGCAGTAATGAGCTTAAGCGTAGCAACAGTTGTGAGCTTGGCACAGAACTGGGTTGTGTATGAGCCAGTACTGTTTCAACAGTACTTAACAACAACAACAAACAATGTGAGTGAACTTTAGCACCATTATTTCAAGTGAAAGAAGCCAGACAAATGCTCAGAAACAAAAAGATGATTGGTGGTTGTCAGGGAAAGGGGGAAGGAAGACTACAGAGCTAACTATTTAGTGGAGTCCTGGTATGGTGCTGTGGTTTAATGTGCTGGACTGCAAAGCCAGTTTGAATTGCAAGGTCAGTGGTTCAAGCTCACCAGTCGCTCCTTCGACACCCTATACAGATTCACTATAGATCGGAACCAACTCGATGGCACTTGATAAAAACAAAACTCTTAACAGATAAGCACTGGACTGCAAACCACAAAGTCGGTGGTTCAAGTCCACCAGTTGCTCCGTGAGAAAAGTATGAGGGGGTTTTCTTCTTCCGTAACGATTTTATAGCTTCAGAATCTCTATACAGAGTCACTGAGTTAGAACCAACTGGACAGCACTTAACAACTTAATGAATATGGGGTTTTGTTTTGGAGTAACAAAAATTGTTTAGGAACAAGACAGAGGTGGTGGCTGTAAACATTGTAAATGTGTGCAGTGGAAAAGATTATAACTCATAGCAACCCTACAGAACAGAGTAGAATTGTCCCATAGGCTGCTTTAATGTAAAGGGTATCCTAGGCACTGTAGCATAAGGATTTCCTAGGCACTGTAGGATCAGCACTAGACTGCTAACCACAAGGTCAGCAGATCAAACTCACCAGCTGTTCCTTGGAAACCCTATACAGGGTCACTATGAGTTAGAACCAATTTGACGGCACTTAACAACAAAAACAAATCTTTACTGGAGGTACCACTAAACTGTACAATTAAAATGGTTAGTGTTCTTTTATGTGAATTTCACTTCAATGAAAACACAAAAAAAGAGAGAATATCAACCTACTTCCACAATCATCCAGCCATTCACTGGTTTACACTGTGGGGGAAGCTCCAAGATATCCAAGTGATACACTCCACCCAGAGTTGTGAACTGGAATAAATCAACCTCATTTGTTTCAAAGAATTCTGGCTTTTCACAAGCATTCTCTACCAGCAACAACTGTGCTAAAATGAATCAGATTAATACAGTTTCAAATGAGATTGTAACATTTTTTTTTTTTTGTCTTGAGAGAAAAATGAGTAAGCACTAGCAAAACAAGTTTTTAAATAACTGGTTACTAAAGTTCTCCAAAAACTGGTTAGCTCACAACTATTAATAAAGTTAACTATGAAAGTACAACTAGTCACATAGAAGGGTGAGATGCAGGGAAGAGCTCCATTTGTAATTCATATACTAACATTGCAGAAATTTTATGCAGTAAGCAGGTGCTACTTCTAGAATACATTTTTTAAAAATCTATTATATTAAAGATAAAAAATGGTTTAACATTAAATTCAATAATTGTCCAATGTTAATAAGTTCGTAGAATTGATCACTATGAGATTAAAAATCTGAAACCTGATAATTATGAGGTTAAAAAAAAGAAAAAATAGTAAGATTGAGGGGGAACACACACATTTTAGTCCATATGTCAGATTAAAGCTGGATTATTGTTGTTTTTTGTTTACAACATAAATAAGGCTGGAGGATTAAAAAAGAACAAACTCTCTGGTTCACAAAAGAACCTAAAAGTTCTAGGATTTGAAAATTTTCAGTGCATAATTGGGAAACATCTGAAGTCACACATCACATAGAACAATCCAACCCTTCATGGTAAGTCTTTAAATATAGTTTTGTGGTTGGGGGAAGTCAGACGGCTGACAGGTAGAGTTTTACTAGCTGCATGTCCTTGGACAAACTCTATTAATTAACATCTCTATCCCCAGTTTCTTCATCTACTGAGTGGGGATAATAGTAGTATCTATCTTACAGAACTTGGGGGAAGAGTACAAATGAGTTAATGCATATAAAGTGCTTAGAACTGGTACCAAGTAGCAAAAGTCAGGCACTAAAAATTTAAATAACCAAAGAATATTCCAGTAAAGCAATTACTCTTTGTTCCTTATGTACGTGTTGATTGTATTGTTAATTTTTAAAATTTATTTACTTAATAAGTCATTTACCTGAAAAGAAAGCAAGAAAGAACACTTTGTGTAGACACTTAGATGTTTGTGACATATATTATTTTGTGACCATCATGTAGAGATACTAGCTTTCACTGACAGAGGTTCATTAACTTCTGTAGTGCCATATTTCTAACAGGAAGATCATCCAATAAGGGTTATAGAAAATTATAAAGATACAAACCTAGGTGGCTTCTGAAACAAATAAAAGTGTGTTAGAAAAAAATGAAGAAAACAAGGGACTTGTTATGAAAAATATGCTAACAGACATCTACAAAATAGATTCCTTAATTATTCTTGGGAAAGATGCATATAAATTCCAAACTAATAGCATTACAGACTGGAGCCTCAGTAGGATAAGCACTAGTCTGCTAACCACAAGGTCAGCAATTCAAACCCACCAACTGCTCCTCAGAAATTATACAGGGTTACTATGATGATTTGCAACCAACTCAACAATAATTAACAACAACAACAATCATTTTCACAAAGAACCCTGATGATGCAGTGGTTAAGTGCTCAACTGCTAATTGAAAAGTCAGTGGTTCAAACCTACCAGTCACTTTGCAGGACAAGCATGTGGCAGTGTCCTTCCATGTGTTGGGAACCCCATGGAGACAGTCTACTCTATCTGGTTGGGTTGCTATGATAGGAACTGACTCAAGAGCACTGAGATTGGGTTTATCAGTTTCTTATTTATAAACTACACTTCAATTGTAATTTTCCAGGAAAAGATTAAGTACAAAAATTTATACTCAAAGCACTGAGAAAATCCCAATTGTGTGTGTTTATGAATATTTATTGTAATATTTATTATACAACAGTGAAATAGTAATAATCTCACTAACAAGTGTGATTTACTTAGAAAAAATAATGCTTCAATATTGGAATGTAATGAAAATACAGCTTCTAAAAGTGAAGTTACCAACAGTCTAACATTGAATTAAAATTAAAGTATTTGTATGATATGCTCTTACGATCTTATTTAAAAAAACCAAAGAGCAGAAAACAAGAGAAGATAATAGGATTCTCAAGGAAAGATTATAGAAACTTTTCACAACTAATCTATATCTGCAATGTCTTTTTTTTTTTTTACAGTGACTATGCATTTTATTTATAAGTGGAAATCCTAATAAAGTTAAATATCTAAAAAGATTAATTTAGAAGAATACCTGCTGAAACTGTTTCACTTAATAATTTCATCTCCCCATCAAATTTTATGGCTTCAGATTCTTCCTCAACAACAGAACCCTATGAAAAATACATACAAGATAGGTGTTATCATCAGCGCTTTAGCTCATGGTCATTCTCTTTTTGGTTTCAATTCCCATCTCAGGTTCCGGTTGTCAGTATAGGGAGCCATACTCACAGTTGCTCTGGCATAGATCTGGAATTAAAATCTGTATTTTAAAAAGTAATGAAAAGAAAGCATATCTCCACAAACCTTTAAGAGGACAGGAGCTAGCCTGTCCAGAGTCACTGCTAGAAATCCTCAAGTGTGAAATATAAAAAGTAGGAAGTTACACAAGATATAAGAAATATTTGCATTTTGGTTTAAGCCAATGGGCAGATTTTGCTTAATTCTGTCAATCAGCTCTCTGATAGAATAATTTCAAAGTCTGCTTTTGGGTAAGCCTTTCATAGCAATGAAAGATGCTATGTACCAAAGTAAACAATATTACCGCATTATACTCTAGTAAAGAGAATACTGCAACAAGGGCTTAAATGACCTAGACTTTATATCTACATCTGTCACTAACTTACCTTGTCATCTTGAGCACGTCACTCAACCATTCAAATTCATTGCTGTCAAGTTGATTCTGACTCAGAGCACCCCGATGGGGCAGAGTCAAACTGCTCCATAGGATTTCCAAGACTGGTGTGATATTGTAGGATCAACACTGGACTGCTAACTGCAAGGTTGGTGTTTCAAACCCACAAGCCACTCCTCAGAAACCCTATACAGACAGCAGTTATGAATTGGAACTGACTCAAAGGCACTTAACAACAATCTTTACAGAAGCAGACTGCCACATCTTTCTCTCAAAAAGAGGGTGATTGATTTGAACTGCTGACTTCTCTTCTCCGTTAGTCGTCAAGTGTTTAACCATTGTGTCACTGGGGATCCTTCACTTAGCAATTATGGGCCTCAATTTTTTATCTAAACAACACAGATATATTTGGTACCCTACAAGGAATCCTGGTGTGGCGCTGTGGGTTAATGCACCAGACTGCAAAGTCATTTGAACTGCAAGGTTGGCGGTTCAAGCTTACCACCTGCTCCTCGGAAATCCTATACAGGGTCACTATGGGTAGGAATTGACTTGACAGCACGTAACAACAACAACACCCCTACAAGGAAGGTGCTCTTGTAGCATAGTGGTTACAAGTTGGGCTGCTAATCTCATGGTCAGCAGTTCGAAACTACCAGCCATTCTGCAAGAATAAGATAAGACTTTCTGCTCCTGTAAAGATTTACAGCCCAAAAAACCATATATAGGGTTGCTATGAGTCAGAACTGACTCCATGGTACACTACCACCACCACCCTACTGGTGGTACAGTGGTACAGCTCTGGTGGTACAGTGGTCAAGTACTTGACTGAGAACTGAAAGGTTGCTGGTGCAATTCACCAGTGGATCTGTAGGAAAAAGTTGTAGTAGTCTGCCTTGGAAACCCTAAGGGGTTTCTACTCTGTCCTATTGGGTGCCTATGAGTCATCATCGATTTGATGACAATGGGTGTGCTTTGGTTTTGATATGTACCCTACATATATCCTGGAAACAATCGTAAGAGGTAGGATTACCTCCATTTTACAGATAAGGAAACAAACTCCGATAACGGTTCTACAGTCAAGTAAAATAATGGAAATAAAAATGCATTTACTGTCAGTCAATGTAAAATGCATAGTGAGTGTTATTATAAAAATTGGTATGTGTCTGCTAATATTTTCAAATGGAATGATATCGAACAAATTTCATTTGACCTCTGAAATTACCTGATACTTCTGCAGCAATAACTTTTTATCAGAATTCTAGTCACAAATTTAAAGTTAATTAATCCCACCCTGCCACTCATCCTCAACCACTGTAGACAAAACAAAATCTCTTTCTGTTGATTGTACTTTCGCTTACTCTCATCCCCATATTGTCCTATGTATCTTCCTCTTAACCAGTTTTAAAACTATTGCTTTTGCCCACCTTTCCATTGTTTCTGTGGAACTTACTTGCTCACTCAGTTAAGTCAAATAATTTTAATAGTTCTCCTCAACTGAACAAGTTTTACTAGATACTAAGAATAAAAACTTTTAATTGAAAAAGGTTCCTGAATTAAGATCTTCCAGGTTATTAAGGTACCAGGTTAACAAATAGATCAATTCTATAGGAAATGAGTGGTTGAAGACAAGAAACTGTATCCAAAGGCAGGAAAGTTTGAACTAGGTCTTTCCCATAAAGACAGGAGGAAATTCTAAGCATGAGTAAAGGCACAAAGGCATGAAGCAAAAGAGAGGTTTCCAAGCACACCAAGTGGTCTGGTATGGAGTGAAGCATGCTAGGAGGGCATGAAGAGTGAGGTCTGGAGACGGTCTCAGGGATCAGATCTCAGCAAGCTCTGAGAACCACTCTAAAGGATTTAGATTTTCTCCTACAGGGAAAGGAAATAGGAAAATAAAATGAACTTTGCTTTTGAAAATAGCCCTGTGTAAATGAATTGCTTAATAACATGTAAGAAGTCAAGGTATAGAGACCAGAGTCTAACCCAAGATAGAAAAGAAACAGTGGTAACCTAAGAAGGAGGCACCTACAATGATTTGTTGTTGTTGTTGTTGTTGTAAGTGCCATCGAGTCGGTACCGACTCATAGCGACCCTATGCACACAGCAGAACGAAACACTGCCCAATCCTGGGCCAACCTCACTACTGTTGCCACGCTTGAGTCCATTGATGCTGCCACTTGGCCAATCCATCTTGTTGGGGGTCTTCCTCTTTTTCTCTGACCCTCCACCCTACCAAACATGATATCTTTCTCCAGCAACTGGTTCCTCCTGACAATATGTCCATATGAGACATAAAAGTATGAGAGATGAAGTTTGGCCTTCTTGGCCTCTAAGGAGCGAGCGCTCTGGCTGTACTTGTTCCAAAACGGATCTATTGGTTCTTTTGGAAGCCCATGGCACTTTCAATATTCTCCTCCAACACAGTAACTCAAAAGCATCAATTCTTCTACAGTCTTCCTTATTCACTGTCCATCTTTTGCATGCATATGAGGTTATTGAAAATACCATGACTTGGGTCAGGTGCACCTTAGTCCTCAAGCTGACAACTTTGCTCTTCAACACTTTAAAAAGGTCTTGTGCAGCAGATTTGCCTAACGCAATACGTCATTTGACTTTTTTTTTTTAATGCTTTATTGTGATCATTAGTTTTACATTCATCTTATCGAATATCATGTCATTGCCATGGTTACAATCCCCTCCATGGATCATCAATTAACCAATCATCAAGCCTGCCCTCTGGTCATCAGCACACAGCCCCTCTCCCTCTCTGGGTCTAAAGTTTCCAGGCACTCCATCTCTCATGTCATCGCCTCTGCCTCCATCTCTGGTGTCACTGCTTTTCTTGGTAGGATCCCGCTCTCCACTCTTCTCCATTGATGGTCCCAGGGACCTGTGCTCCTAGACTGAAAAGTTAATCACTCCCCTCCTTACTACAAAACACCTACCTTTACATTTCCAACCCTCACAATCAGTCCTGATAACAATTATTCACTTATTGTATCACAAAAGACCTATCCCCATCTCCTTTCATCAGCTCTGCCTAGACAGATTAGATACTACTCAGTGGACATTCTACCTTCCTCCACACCCTCTGGATCTAGGTTCCCTCTTGAAAGCTTGTAAGCCAGTCACTTCTTGCCTTTGTAGCCCCCTACCCCCACCCCCAATTTGGATAGCCAATGTCCAAGTTGCCCATCCCTGTCTACTCTGTGTATGGTGGGGATGGGAATGATCCTTGTGGTAAAGATTTGTTCCCTCTTTTGAGCTAATGCATCCATAGTTGTAGGTCAAGTTCATCAAATTGTATCACATTACTCTTTTTTTCCTCTTCTTTCTTCTTCTAGTTGAGCTCTGATCATCCAGTCATTGAAGCCAGGTCAAGTGGGTATTATCTGCAAGTGTGTGTGTTCTTGTGCATATTCCCTTTCTTCTTATCAGCTGGATGCTTCACTCTCCACTCTAGTCCTCTGTGGCTATGTCACTGACTCTGGGCCCAAGAGTCCCCAGATCTTGCCACACTGCTGGCCAACCACCAGGTCTCCACCTGGGTTCATAGGAGTCTATTGAATGTTGTAGGGCTTAGCTCACAGCTTCATTGCTGTTCTTCCCTCACTTCCCCTTATCGGTGATGAACGTGGTCACCAATTGGAGCATGTATTCCCATTGAGTCTTAGTCTTGGAATGGGGTTTGCTCTGAGGGGACCCGACCACTTGTCTTGATGTCTCCTGGGTGAGCATGTCGTTTGATTTCTTGACTACTGCTTCCGTGAGTGTTGATGGTTGATCTGAGCAAAATAAAGTCTTTGACATCTTTAATCTTTTCCCCATTTATCTTGATGTTATTTATGGAGATTATATAGAGAGAGGGAGGGAGGAAAGGCTTGTAAAAGATAAATGAATTTGGCTGTGGATATGTTGAATTTGAGGTGCCTATGGGGCATACATTGGCCTTTGATCTTATCTACTTTTAAAAAACATGCTACAGGAAGGCTTATCATCATTAAAAACACCAAGTATATTAAACCAATACTCTAGGTAAGCTGTACAGTTCACATCTTAAAAAGCTCACAATTCTTCCAGGATTTGAGACCAAACTCACTTTCCTTGCAGGAACACTGAGAGTTCAAGTTTTTCAACCAAACTGCCCCCCTTGATAACCACAGTACTTCAGCATGCAATGACAGCTCAAACCAGCTTCTAGGCGATTCCCCCCAACCCCCAAAAAGAAACCTTGTATTTAATATATTACCTTTGGATAATTCACAGATTTTACTATGTTACTCTTTAGTTCAACTCTTTAAAAAAAAACAAAAAACATTTTTTGGTGAAAGAAGAAATGCTGATTTATAGTCTGGTGCAAGTAGTCTTGATAATTACTCTGAGAATGTTTTCCTGTCCTTGATGCTGTACCATCAGAACATACTGTTGCACAAAACTTTAATTTTAAAACACATTGCTTGTCAAGTAGTCTATAAT